TTCTTTTTTTGTGTGTGTATTTTCTGTCTCTTTGTTGATATTCTCATTTTGCTCATACATTGTTACCTTTAGCTCACAGAGCATCTTTATGAGGGTTATTCTGAATCCTTTGTCAGGTAATTCATGTCTTTGTTTCTTTAGGGTTGGTTTGTGAAGATTTATTTTGCTCCTTTCTTTGGGCCATGTTTCCCTGTTTCTTCCTACGTCTTGAAAGCTTTGTTGGGATCTGTGCACTTGACAAAAAAAGCCACTTCTTCCAGTGTTTATGAACTGGGTTTTGTAGTGTGGAAAACCCTCACTAATCAGCTCAGCTAGGGGTTCCGGGGACCTCTGCAAACTTTGGTGGGGATACAACTTCTCTAGGCCTATGTATGCACTTTCTCAACTAGAGATGCTTGCTGCTTTCTTATTCAAGTGATCATAATCTCTTCCTTCTGCTGGTATCTGTCTTTAGCACTGTGATATGGTTTGGATTTGTGTTCCTGCCCAGATGTCATGTTGAATTGTAATCTTCAATGTTGGAGGAAGGGCCTGGTGGGAGGTGATTGGATCACAAGGAAGATTTTCCCCTTGCTGTTCTTGTGATAGTGAGTTTTCACAAGATCGAGTTGTTTAAAAGTGTGTAGCATCTCCTCCTTCACTCTCTTCCTCCTTCTCCAGCCATGTAAAATGTACCTGCTTCCCCTTCGTCTTCTGCCATGATTGTAAGTTTCTCAAGGACTGTACAGCCTGCAGAACTGTGAATCAATTAAACCTCTTTTCTTTATAAATTACCCAGTCTCAGGTAGTTCTTTATAGCAGTGTGAAAATGGACTAATACACATTGTATGTTCTCTAGTTTTATGGCAGCAAGCCTCCCTGCTCTTTGTTCTTCTCACCAGCATCCAAAGTATGCTAGCCCCAAGTCAGGCAAGACAGATAGCAGTCTCTCAGGCAGACTTCCAAAAAGCTGGGATATTGTACACATGCTCCACTCTTCTCTCTCCCTCCCAGAGAAGCTGAGAGTTGGGTGTCTTTTTTTTCTTTCTTTTTTTAAAGACAGGATCTCACTCTGTTGCTGAGACTGGAGTGCAGTGGCACAATCATGGCACACTGTAGCTTTGAACCCCTGGGTTCAAAGTATTCAAGGTATGACCAAATTAAACTTCTTCCCCCACATCCTGGCTAACCCGGTGAAACCCCGTCTCTACTAAAAAATACAAAAAATTAGCCGGGCGAGGTGGCGGGCGCCTGTAGTCCCAGCTACTCGGGAGGCTGAGGCAGGAGAATGGCGTAAACCCGGGAGGCAGAGCTTGCAGTGAGCTGAGATCCGGCGGCTGCACTCCAGCCTGGGCGACAGAGTGAGACTCTGTCTCAAAAAAAAAAAACAAAAAAAAACCAAAAAACTTCTTCCCCCAAATATTCCCAATTCCCCCAAGTTAGAATGTATCATTCATTCATCAAATACCGAACAAACACCTATTATGTGCTAGGTACTCTACTAGGTTGTCTGAGCTACTTTGTAGCTCTGATAACATTATAGAACTTCTCACAGCTTCTTATAGTCATTAATATTTGCATATGCAATTTCTTTCTTCCTTAACTGTGGGCTTCTAGAGTGATGGAACTGTGTCCAATTCACCTCTATAACCCAGGCATCTGTACAATGTTTTGGAAATAGTAATTAAAATGAAATACAAGAGTGCCAAAACAAACTCCAAGTGGCTAGAAGAAAAACGTCTCCTAAACCATCTGGGTTTGTGAAACAACCAGAAAGACTGAAGTAGCTGATGATAATCAGTTGTCTTATAAATAACACCAGGTCACAATTAATTAGCTTCTTTTATGCTTTTTTCTATTTTTGTTGGAAAATGTATTGATCACTATTTTTTCATCCCTTATTTCAAGGATACTAACAAGTCAGTGGTCCATATTTCAGTTACATGTAAATTAAAACTGGTTAGCAAGAAAAATGAAAATACATTCAAGTGATTTTCAGAAATATAAAAATCACCATCACCAACTACCCCAAACCAGGAAACACATCCTCCTTTACTCACTACCACAAACCCAGTCACAGCAACAATAAGAATCGACGGCGATAAAATAAAGAGCCCAAAAGGAACGAAAAAACTCAGAAAGTGCCATGTATAAGGAAAAAAAGGATAAAATGTGTTTGGCAAACTAATGTCCCAGGATCCCAGTTCCAAACTGAGCAAAATTGATGGGCAGAATAAACATAGAATGTGGTCAAATCCACTGAGAGATTAAAAGCTTTTCTGAGGTCAAGAAACCTTGGGTTACAATGAAGGTTATTCAAAAGGAACTAGGGCTTTCAAAGAAGAAGAAAATGATCAAGGTACTTACCAGCTCCAGGCCCACAGTTGGTACTTAATGAATGATAGCTATTATGAGGAGCTGAGAACTAACTCAAACGTCCCTCTTTCATGATGTCCCAGGGAGAATCACTGAATATCTTTCTCTGTGCTCCCAGAGTACTCTATACAGGCTGCCATCATATCATTTACTGTATGTACTAGGGTCCGAATGCTGTGTCCCTCCCAAATTCACATGTTGAAATATAATGCTTAATGTGATGATATCTGGAGACAGGGCCTGTGGGAGGTAATTTGGTCATAAGGATGGAATTCTCATGAACAGGATTAGTGCCCTTATAAAAAGAGGCCAGAGAATTAGCTTGCACTCTTTTCACCATCTGGGGATAAAGTGACAAGTCAGCAGTTTGAAACCTGGAAGAGGGCCCTCACCATAACCTGACTATGGTGGTACCTTGATCTTGAACTTCCAGACTACAGAATGTGAGAAATAAATTTCTGTTGTTTATAAGCCACTCAGTCTATGGTATTTTGTAATAGCAGCCTAGACTAAGACAATATGTCATCTATATTATGACACATGACATCTATATATATGCAGAACCAAGATTCTTTCTTTAAGTCTTCTTGTTCATTCCCTCACATTCCAAATGCCATTCTCTTTCATTACTTGTTCTGTTCAAAGTAATGTCTCTTCTTCCACCACCAACACAGAATAAGCTTCATGGAGTAAATTCTTCCAGATGATGCAGTATAAAATGATAGGAGAGCATGAAGTTTTTTTTTTCATTCTTGTTTTGAAATAATATTAAGTAAACAAATATGTTGTAAAAATAGAGCATTCCTTTAACCCAGTGTCCCTTACTATTAACATCTTACAAAAACGTAGTATAATAATTGAAAGGAGGACATTAACAGTGAGCCGATAAAACAGACTGTTCTATAGATCTTACTTGAATTTCCAAGTTTTCCCATTGATGTCCTTTTTGTGGTCCAGGATCATACATTACATTTAATTGTTATGTCTCGTTACTCTCCTCCATTTTGTGACAGTTCCTCACTTTTTCCTTGTCTTTCATGATATTGACGTATTTGAAAAACATTAGTCAGTTATTGTGCAGAATGCCCCCCAACTTGGGTTTGACACACCTAGCTCTGATTCTTGGCTTTCTGACTTAATATCTATGTAGCCTTGGGCAAGTCAACCTCTCTGGGACTCAAGTTTCCTCATCTGTGAAATGGAATAGTAATACTGACTTTAACAAGCTGTTTTCAAAATTAAATGAAGCAAATATATTAAAATGCCTGGGATATAAGGCCATACAAAAAATGTTATCTTTTCTCCTTGTGCTGCCTTTCAAATATTTCTGATAGAATTTTTTTTTTTTGCTAAAATATCTTACTCATATTTTAATGCCTTATTTTTTAGACAAAATCATATATAATGTAGCCTTTGATTGATGACTCACTATCATCACTATAAAAATCCATTGCTATATTGTGCAACAGTTCCAGATCTGTATTTTTGTTGCTTTCCCTTATTGCTATTCCCTCTCAATGTCAATATGTCTGATTGTAAGGGTTTCATAATTCCATTTCTGATTTTCAGCTTGCGATGTATCAAAATTCATTTATTCACCCACACATACAGACAATGATGTACTGAATCTACTAAGTGCCAGGTCCTATGTTAGCATCTTGGAGATAGTGATAACTTACTTCCTGTCCTCATCGATTTTATGGCTAGTGGGGGAAACTGACAAGAAAATAGTTAGATACAGTTCAATGTGATCAATTCTATCAGAGATGTTAATACCTAAAATCACATAAGAAGTATACTTAACTTGAATTTGGGGGAAGAGTCAGGCTTGGGAAGATTTCATGAAGAAGGTAACCTTAAGCCTTGGTTAAGGACTGCAAAATGCATAGGAATGAACGAGATAGAGGCAAAGGCTTGTAGTTTAAGGAAGAGTTATTAGAGCTGTGTGCTGAGTAAAAGTAAATCAGTTCTGAAAAATAAATCTCTTGTGTTATAAACTTGCAGATTGAGAGCTATTTTGTGCCAATACCTCAGGGACTTAGAAACTTCACCAGGAAACTCCTGGCGACTCCAGTTGACATACTTAAACCTTTGGCTGTTACATTGAGCTTACCTCTTTCAACATCTGTGAACTGAAGTAAAATTTAAGGTGACAATTGGCTGCTTGTTCCCATTTCAACAATATAACAAGTTTTCCCCTTTCTAACAGAGGAGTTTTCTTTTCTAAAATAATCTAAATATCCATCAAAAAGTCCTCTTAAACTGACCCTTTTAACTTAACCTGGCAAGAGAGGTTTTGAGGCTTTCCTAACATTCTTCCTTTCTACAGTACTCATTCCTGTGGCTTTAGAGGTTTGACTTTGCATCCAACTGATTCCAAAGACCCAGTCTAACTATGTAAATCTGTAACCTTAGCAAGTGTTATAAGTCTATTATCCATTAAATATTGGAACTTAAAAGAATTCAGTGCAAAAATTTCAAATTATTAAGTTTGTCTGCCAGTCTCTATTCTCACAGTCATCTTCACTTTCTTCTTTTTTTTCCCCCATCTGGAGAGTAAATAAGTTGAATTCTTTCAGTTTTCTCCACAGGGACTATTTCTCAAACGTCAACTGCTTCTAACTCAAAGCAATAATATTACATACCGTCAACTGGTGTATCAGGAGGTCCATTAAGAAGGTAATCTTGTTACTAAACAGAACATCAGTGCAGTTTTCTGAACAGTTATTGCAGGTGAGGTTGTAAACATTGATTGCATTGCAGAGAGACCTAAAAGAAGGAGAAAAACACCACTTACAAAACCCGAGCAGCTCTTCTTTAAACAATTAAAAATACATAAAATGAATGGTACGAAAGCAACAGGCATGAGATGGAAATCACTCTAAAAAACCAAGCCAAATACTATTAGGTACAAGGCCCATCAGCTAGATATAAAAGCTTATAATTTTCACCCAAAGCCCAGTGTTCATTGGTACGTAATAACTCTTACTAATTTCTATTAGCTGCAGTTGCAGATAATGGAAACATATTTACTAGTCTATGACAGTTTCTGAATACTCTAAGACTAGATGTCATCCAGGAACTTTGGTTCTTCAAATAATACCCAGAAAAAAAAAAGGAAAAGGGCTCTATCAAAGTTTCTGTTGCCAGATCTCCTGCTCCAGGACAAGGAAGATCATGGAAGAAGAGAGCACCCATAAGGAGAAACCAGAGGCTCTCCATGTAAGATAAGACCCCAGAGTTCTAGGGAGTGGACACCACACTGCTTGGAGGCGGAACATGGATGAGTGCCTGAGCAGCTGAGGACATCTTTCCAAGAGCGTAAAAACTGGCCTGTGTGGGCCCAAACAGTTTAAGGTCAAACTGATCAAAGAAATGTTTTTCTCTAGGAGGCTTAAAATATGCTGAAAAAAACTATAAAGCACCCAGAGCCTGAGCAATGTGAAGAAGGGGCAAGAACAACCCCAGCCCAACCAAAGTCTGCCTGCTGCTGCATTCCTGCATCCTTGGCCTATGTCCTGCCGCATCACTGCCATGCCCAAGAAAAAGCTGAAGGGGATGCTAAAGAAGACAGAGTCAAGGTGAAGAACAAGCCAGAGAAGATCCGCAAGGTTGTTTGCTTAACCTGCTCCTCCAAAGCCAGAGCCCAGCCCTAAAAAGGACCCCGCAAAGGAGAGAGAGGAGGTACCCAAAGGGAAAAAGGAAAATGCTGACACTGGCAGGGAGGGGAATAACCTTGCAGAAAATGAAGATGCCAAAACAGACCAGGCAGAGGAAACTGAAGGTGCTGGAGATGCCAAGTGAAGCGTGTGCATTTTTGGTGACTGTGTATTTCTGGCGACTGTATAGTTTGAAATACTATTTTTATCAAGTTTTTAAAAAATGCAAAATTTGTTTAACTTTTTTTCCTCCTGCCTCAGCTTCCCCAGTAGCTGGGATTACAGGCACCTGTCACCATGCCCAGCTAATTTTTGTATTTTTAGTAGAGATGGGGTTTCATCATGTTGGCCAGGCTGGTCTCAAGCTCCTAACCTCAGGTGATCCACCTGCCTCAGCTTCTTAAAGTGAGCCACCATGCCCGACCTTGATTTACTTTTTTAAAGCTATGTTGTTAGCACACAGAACACTTCACTGTTGTATTGTGGGAAAGGGTCATAGGTTACTAATAGAATGTCTCTGATGCTGGATTGATGTGGGGAAAACACCTTTCCCTTCCCATTTTGAGAGATTTCCTCTTGACTCCCAGGAGGAGGGATTCCATGACTCTGAGACATGTAGCCACCTTGGCACAAATCCCTTGTGGTATGAAAAAACAAATTGGTTGTTATGTCCTCTTCTCCCTCATCATCTTCAACACAGACTTAATTCCCTTAAACCCAAACTCTGTTGGGCCCTGACCCTCCAGTAATTGGTTACCAGTGTGTCAGGCAATTAGACTTTACAGTGGTGCCACTGAGATGGAGCACCCCAAAGAGTAGAGTTTCCACTTCTAGACTGTGGATTTTCATATTTTCAGATAAATTCTGCCATTTTTATTTCATTTCCTGGAAGTCAGGGTCAGTTCATGAAAAGCTGTTAAACAACATGCTAAATGTGAAATGTCAACCCTCACTCTAACCTTTCCGTTCAGAGCATCAAATGAAGATCTTATGGTGTTTTATAGTGGCTTTTTGATTTTGGTAGTCCATTGAAGAAGGGAGTTTGAAAGTTGTTGTACACTGTTAATGATTATCTGCCCATGTCCTGCCTGAAATACCCTGATTGTTTATGGAAAGTAACTTTAATAAAGCTGGATATAGTTTGGCTTGGAAAAAAAATAATATGTAATTGTTCAAAGAAACTTTTAGAGCAACAAGCTCAATGGGCACGACAGATTCCTGGATGTTTTGAATACTGTGACTAAAATCTCCATTGCTTGAGTGACCAATGTTTATTTTGGTCTGTCTGACTAAATAAATCTCCTGCTTAAGTTCTAGGTAAAAATGTATTGATTTAGTTCTATACAACCCAGTCTCTAGGACAGTTCTTAAACATGTGATTCACAGAACAGCACTATTGGGAACTTGAATAAATACAAATTCTTAAGCTCTACCCCAGACCTAGTAAATGGAAGCTCTGGGGATTTTAACAAGTTCTGCAGGTAATTCCGCTGCATATTCAAGTTAGAGAACCACTGCTCTAGGATAGGGGTTCTGTATCTTGACTAGGCATTAGGATCACCTGTAGTTTTATTTTATTTTATTTTTATTAGTTTTTGAGGCAGGTTCTCACTCTGTCACCCAGGCTGGAGTGAGGTAGAACAATCTTGGCTCACTGCAACCTCTGACTCCTGGGTTCAAGCTATTCTCCCATCTCAGCCTCCCAAGGAGCTGGGATTACAGGCGTGTGCCACCACACCCATCAAATTTTATATTTTTAGTAGAGACAGGTTTCCTCTTGTTGGCCAGGCTGGTCTCGAATTCCTGGCCTCATATGATCCACCCACCTCAGCCTCCCAAAGTGTTGAGATTACAGGCATGAGCCACCATGCCTGGTACCTGTAAATCTTCAAAAATATATGCTTGCCTGAATTCTTCCCTTGGTGATACTAGTTGGGAGATGGGGTAGGCTCCTGACATCTGAATGTTTCAAAACCTTTATGGGCAATTTTGATGTGCAGCCAGAGTTACTCGTTCATTCAACAAATATCTAACTTCCTATGATGTTCCAGGTATTGTGCTAGGTGGATAAGACAGGCAAGTTCTCTGTCCTTATGGAGCTGATGCTCTAGTGGGAGAGAGATGGTGAAGAGAGCCCTTGTTATACTTGTGATCATCTGTCTGATACAGCTGTATACTGCTTCACATAATTGATAGGTTCCGGAAAAAAGGGGACAGTAGAATATACTGGTTAAGACTACAGACACTGGAGTAAGATACTAGTTAGAATCCTACTTCTACCATTCAAGATTTTAGCAAGTTAGTTACTAATTTCACATAATAGCATCCATTTTTTCACCTATAAAACTGGAATATCTAAACTTTGTATGACTGTCGTGGGAATTAACTGAAGTAATAGATGTAAAGTACTTAGGACAGTACCTAGTACATGATTAAGTACTTAATAAATGGTAGCCCTTTTTAGGGCTATTAGTCTATTATTTGGGTTATTAATCTTATTCTTAATGAATAAGGTATAAATAATATGTTAATATATAGAATCAAATTAAAGCATGCTACAGATGCTTATTTCCAGGTTAGTAAAGCACAGTGCTTCCCAAATTTTTTTCATGGTATGCTGACATAAATGCTGAAAGGACTAAGTTGATGCAAGCCAGGAGGAGATTAACCTGTTTCCAGCCTTACCAAATTTCTCTGAGCAATGAAAAAAAAAAACCTTGACCCACATCTACCACATTTATGACATATCAGTTGGAGGTTCTATCTAGCAAATTCTTCACAGATGTCAACCAGCAACACTTCATTTATTTGATAACATGTATAAATTTTCAAGAGTATTTTTCTATTTAATTTAAAAATAATGTGTATTTATGCTGATAAAAATAGTTTTAAAAATAATTGTCATAAATTTGGGAAAGAGAACCACAAAGAAATAGTAAAATACTATCAAGAGAAAATTTGGTATTTGTACTTCTAGTCTTTCTTAATAAATTTTAAGAAAATTTATTTTCTTAAAATAAATTTATAAGAATTTATTTATTCTTATAAATTTATATTTTATCCCATTTTCCCATTTCTTAATTAATATGTAATAATGAACAGTTCTCCATGACATTTAATATTCTTCTATAACACTAGCTTTTAATTTTTTTTGTAAGGCAGAGTCTTGCTCTGTTGCCCAGGCTGGAGTGCAGTGGCATGATCCCAGCTCACTGCAACATCTGCCCACTGCAGCCTCTGCCTCTTGGGTTCAAACAATTCTCCTGCCTCAATCTCCCGAGTAACTGGGATTACAGGCACATGCCACCACACCCAGCTAATTTTTGTTTTTATTGCCATGTTGGCCAGGCTGGTCTCGAACTCCTGACCTCAGGTGATCAACCTGCCTTGACCTCCCAAAGTGCTGGGATTACAGGCATGAGCCATCATGCCCTGCAGCTTTTAATTTTTAAGAAGAGCAGGGAAATGCTTTCTTCAAACAAAATCTTACTCAGAAGCTTGAACCAAAGAACAGATAAAATCAAGAGTTGCTCTGGCTGAAGCAGAAGCTGGGGACCCAGGGACCTCCCCTGCTCTCCCCTTTCAAAGACCCTTGAAAGCTTCCTTGGAGGCCTGGGGGTGTGTTCCCTTGAGATACAGTGAAAAACTGAGCTAAGATACAAGTAAAATTTAATTTGCTAATTTTTTGAATAGGTGATGATGACCACAGTACAATTAAGCCAAAATAAAAAGAGTGCACTATGAAAAGCTTCTCCCTCTTACTCATGTCTCCCAGCCTCATCTTAGAAATCATCATGGTTACTGGTTTACATATCCTTCCAGAGACAATCTGTGCATATGAAAGCCTTTTATTCTCCCCTACACAAACAATATGCTACAAGATTTGGAGGTTGAATGTGAGTGAAAGACATCTTCCTGTGGCTCTTGGCTGTTACTAGCAAGGTTTGGAATATGAGGCTTTCCTGCAGCAGCATTCTGGGGTCCATTTTCCAGCTTCCTGGGCATCAAAAATCAGTGGGATAAGTTGTACTAATTTCTCATCTGTAGCTTCGGGTACACATTCTGTGGTTTATTGGGTGTAAGAGATAGTTGTTTGTGTGGCATTAGCCA